CTGAAACTTAGGTTCCTTGGTATCCTATTCAGTCATCATTGATTCATTTAATAAATTCATTAAGTAATAAATAATTATAAGCCACTATTTACAAGATCCCTGCCAGAAAGGTTTACAGTTTATAATGAAAACTTTTAATCCAAGTTTCTAATTTTATATGCTTTCAGAATAATTGAAATATTCAGATGAAGGCATCTATAAGACACTTATAATTAGAATCCATTAAGCTTACTTCATGGATAGCATGAAATAAAATGTAAAATTAGAAAAATACCAACGGGTATGAGTTTCAATGCAGAATCCATCAAGAGATTTTTAGAACTCCAAAGGTCATCTATTTTGACAAAAGACCTCTCTGGGCAATTGCATAGTTATGGAGAGTTGTGCCATACAGCAATGTCCAACACAATTGTTTTCCCTTTTTTTATTCTTTGTACAATGAGACTAGATCTGCATTCTGCACAATTCTATGGGAAGCTTCCATAGAAGCTATTTCCAAAGTAGCCTGTATGAATGTACTCAAGATAAAAATCTATAAGCAGTGGAAAGATGTCTTTCACATTTTGTACATTCTATGAAACCAGGTCAGAGCAATCATCGTCACAGCTGCTAGCCAGCAACAATCTTAGTCACTGCATGCCACCACTGGCTGGCAGGTACATGTTTCTTTTCACTCAGGCTAAGGGGATTATTTGGACATTTGGTCTTTTGCCCTTAGTTAAAACCAATCTATTGTGTGTAGTTTACACACACACACACACACACACACACACACACACACACACACACACCCCTACTTTGGACTCAGGGGGTCTTGCCATGAAAAAGCTGTTAAAAATCAGTTGTAAGTTGTGAAATATCTATCATTAGTCTTGACTTAAGAACACATTATGGCATTCTCTTAAGCTCAATGTTTCATTGGGTCTTTATTTCATTATGATTAACATCGTGGATTGGTCAGAATAGGTTAGGCTATATTCTCGTAACAAATAAAGCCTGAAATATTAGTGTCTTATCACAATAACAGTTTCTTTCTCATCCAAAGACAAGTACAAGTCAAGCAACCTTTTTTTTTTTTTTTTAATCTTTTAGTGACTCTGTTTTATAGTTACTATATCTAAAACATGAGACTTAGAGCAGGGAAAGACAAGAATGAAGGAGGCATACTGGCTCTTAACTCCTTTTGCCCAGAAACGATATATGCCATTTTTTGTTCATACTCTAATAGTTAGAACTAGTCACATGGCCCCAATACAACTGTAAGAGAAACTGGGAAAAGTAGTGTCATGCAGATCATGGATACTGTGAACACCAACAGCCTCTATCATATATCTGTTGCTTAAAGTCACACTCACTTCTTTCCTCCAACTGGCAAACACTACTGATTATGTTCTAGTTGCAAGAATTTGTGCCAGCTGCTGGAAGACTACAGATATGAATAAAATGTCCCTAATAGACTGTGGAGACAGAAAAAAATTATAATATAGTTGTGCTGTGATGTAGAAAGAAAATGCCCCAAATAGAGGCATATACCATGTTCTATGAAAAAAAACAAAGAGGAGATGGAATTCATTCTTATGAAGGAATCCTTGAAATGTTAGAGAGATGATGACACAGTTGCTGGACCTAAAGAAAAAAAAAGACTCAGACCAGTTTGATATGGAAAAGAGAAAATGGGGAATGCAACAAATCAGCAAAATGTGAGAAGATACAGCATGGTTGAGGAATGAAGAACTTGAGAGTTTACAGCTGAAGCTGCTAGAGAACTTGGAATGTGAAGCTGGGGGTAGACAGTGCAATATGTTCGAGCTTTATTAGTTTATTTTCTGTATTCGTTAGTTTACTTACTTGTGGACAATTTGCTATTTTGTTGAGTATATTACTATTTGTTTCTTCCACTGTTATTTCACCTTATGAATAGAATCAAGGCAAAAATTTTTACCAAAAGCATTTCCAGTTCTGACAGGAACTGGTTTGCTTTTTCCCTTATATTCTTTTCTCAACTTCTGAATAATATTAAGACTGTAAGTCATAGGATAAGTACTGGATTTATTCCTATCTAATTCTCCTTTCATATTCTTTTTAGTTTTTTAACTTTATTTTGAGAGACAAAGAGAGAGAGAGAGCAAGGGAGGGACAGAGAGAGAATCCCAAGTAGGCTCTGCCCTCTCAGCGCAGAGCCCGATGTGGGGCTCAATCCCACAAACTGAGAAATCATAACCTGAGCTGAAATCCGAGTCAGATACTTAACTGACTGAGCCACCCAGGTGCCCTGTCAGAGTCCTTTCTAATCCAACTGGATATTTACACAGCATGCCTGGCCAGAGCAACAATGCAATTTAAAGATGAATCCCCAAATACTAACACCAGTTCAGTAGGTAAATTGGATCGAGTTTTTAATGTTGGAAAAATAAGGGTTAAAAAAAGAAATCTTGTTACAGTTATGATTAATGCTATGGGTAGTGATGTTTAGTAATTTGACAATGAGTTAAATGGGCCAAGAACTTGGGGCTATAAAAACAAACAACAAAACAAGACAAAAAATAAAAAATAAGGAAAATAGAGAATAGGGTCAAAATTCAAGAAATATATGGCCTTTCTTCTTTCTCTTCTTTGAAAGGAAATGAGTGGTGAATGAACAGGAAAAATGTCAATAGCAAACACTCATTCACATGATGATGTGTCTTAGTGTTGCTTCAAAATGTAACATTTTTTTTGTAATGAAAATGTGCTTATAGTCACTGTTAAACATCCCATCACTATCAAATGTATCTTATTATAAATGTCATTTTACACATTTTTATTTTTGTTTTAGTTTTTAAAGTTTTATTTATTTTTGAGAGACACACACACACACACACACAGAATCCAAAGAAGGCGCCAGGCTGAGTTGTCAGCGCAGAGCCCTATATGGGGCTTGAACCCATGAACAGTGAGATCGTGACTTGAGCTGAAGTTGAATGTTCAACTGAGTGAGCCACCCAGGTGCCCCATTTTACATTTTGAAAGAAAAACTAAAGTCCTTTCTAGAAGTTTCTGCCTTTGTCCTTCAGTTTCTGACACCCTTTCCTCTGTAAAACTGCCATCCCACCTTTTTAAAGTTACTAATAATAGTCACCATTAATTTATCTCATATTATCCACCACCTACGTCCTATATTATCATCTCACCTATACTTTATGACAGCACTAAAAAGTTGATATTATTTCTATTTTGTAGCTGCAGATACTAAGATTCAAGTTTTGTACAAGCCTACAAACTAGCTGTGTCAGAAACAAGGCAATGTGAATTTAGCTACATGACTTAACTTTGAAGGGGAGCAGAATATGCCACCCCCAAATATGCCACATTGGCATATTGATTATGTTGAATTAAAGTTATGTGAGAAACAGGCAGTTCAAGGATTCTCTGACTCTGCTCTGTCCCCCTTGAAACAGGAAGTAAATCTTTCAGGGGAAGTCACCCTTTCAGTACCAGGAGGCAGAGAGCCATCCTTATCACGGGACCGGGAATTCAGAGCCAGGAAGGAAGTATAAATAAACCTTGTCTGCTTTGGTCAGTTTTTTGAGTCTCATATTTTACAAGCTCCTAGACATACAAAATTAAATTTGTTTTTCTCCTGTTAATTTGTCCTTGGTCAATTTACTAATTAGGCCAGCCAAAGAACATAGGAAGAAGGGAAGAGTTTTCCTACCCTACACTTGTCTATTTCCAAATTTGTAAAATGTGAAAAATCACAGTATTCATCTAATAGCTTTATTTACTGAGATAACCCATAGAAGTGCTTAGCACAGTACCTGACAATGACAAGCACTGAGTAAATATTATTATTATTGCTGTTACTCTTATTACCATTTTGATTCCTTGTCCCTTGGGCGTCAATGCTCCAGTTACTTCAAATAAGTTATCTTGGCTTCTTACAAATTATTTCAGTTCTAGAATAAACAGAAGCTTCTATACTAATGTTTAGGATTAACATAACTGTACCTTTCACTTTTCAAGAGCAAAAATGGGGGGGGCTGTCAAACTGGCAAGAAAAACTGCAATATGAATTCTCAAATTCAAGCCCATATTTATTCTTCTGTTCCTTTTCTTCCAAGTAGCACTTGAACTGTAAAAGCGTTTAAGGAACCTAATCTTTGGTGTGACTTAAAAGTTCCTTTCCAGTCCTTCCTCTTTTCAGCTTCCCCAAGAAACATGTTCTAGCCAGTGGAGGAAAAAGAAATAAAAGTAGGAGAAACCAAACCAATGGCTATGGAATTACCACTATCCCTAGCACTATTCACTGACAAATACGAAGTCCTACGTTGAGGACTTGGATCATTTGAGAAAAAAATGGAAGGGATTATTTACAAGTGACTTTCCTTCACTGCTTTCCTACTTTCAAGTTCTTGTACTACTTTCTGCACTCGTGGTCCCAAGGTGTAAATCTCATTTTTTCCCATACAGTGCTGTGGTTGGGGAGCCTGATCTCCAACACCGCCATTTCGCCGCAAAAAAAAAAAAAAAAAAGGCCTCGATGGAGAAACGGCCCAACACTTTCGCGCCACACTCGCAGTGAGAATCTTCCATCACCCCTGCACCGTGCAGGCTCCTCTCCCGGGCAAGCTTTCGTCGCCTAGAGATTTCACAACTCCCCGGGGGGTATGTAAACGGAGCTCTCGTGCACACCTGGCTCCTGGGTTCGCCGCCAAACTACTTCGGGTAAAGCGTGTCACGACCGATCCCGAACAGCAGTTCTCCCCACTTGATTTTTGTCTTTCTTCTCTCTGGGCCCAAACTAAAATCTGAAGTGGAGTGCCCCGAGCCCCAGAGAAAGCGTCTACACAGCCGCGGCGGTCGTTCGGAGCATGCTCAGTCGGCCCTGAGTCACTGGGCGGGGTTCGCCCCCACCCGCTGGCGGCCCGCTCGCCAAAAGCCGGGAGCGCTCGCCCCCGCCCTGCTCCCCCTCCCTCTCTCCCCCCGACGCCGGGCGCGCGCTCCAGGGCACCCATGAGGGCGCCCGGCAGCCGCGCCTCCCCTCGGCCCCCTCTCCTCCCCCGGCTGCGGCGGGCGAGGACAAGTCTAGGGACATAAATAAATAAATAATTCCATTCACCCGGCGACGGCGAGGCGAACTGGCTGCGGCGGGGGGGGTGGGGGCGGGCTGGGGAACGAAGAGCTGCAGCGCCCACCCCGCGCCCGAGACCGGGTAAAGTAAGTACACCCCGGGAGGAAGGGAGGAGGCGGCGGCGGCGCTGGCCCGGAGGAAGGCGAGCGTGCCTCTGCCATCCCAGCTGCCAGCCGAGCCGCACGCGTGTGTAAAAATAATGGCCAGCCCCTGACAAACGCGCCGACGTAGAGCTGGCCGGCGAGCCCTTATATAGACAAAAACCCCCGAAGCGGCCGCGGGAGGACAGCTCACGTCAGCGAGACGCGCAGGCACAGCTGCGCAGGAGCTGCGGGGGCGCAGCGGGCGCGGGCTCGGGCGCGCGCGCGCGGCGAAGAGGTGGGCCCGGGGGGTCCCAGGCGGGGAGCGCCCGCGCGCCCGAGTGCTTTCGGCCCGGAGGCGCCTACGTCCGGGGCTGTTGCGCCGAGATTCTGCGGACGCGGGGCTTCTCCCCCACTCCTCTGCCCACGAGTCTCCCAGGGCTGGTTCCCACCAGGCGTGTCCCTTGGGTGCTAGTCGCCAGCATCTCGCCCCAGGGCCGCGAGCAAGCTGGGGTGGCCTCGTTGCCGCAACACCTGGGGAGAAGTGGTGGTGAAAAGTGTGTGTAGGGGGCGTCTTTTCTTGTAGATGATCGGGAATCTGAGAGGCTGGGAGGGGACGAGATGCCAGGGAGGGAGGGGTCGTTTTCCCTTTTGGTCCCCAGATTGCATAGTGGGGGCAGGCCTGCGCTGGGGCAGAAGGGAGCATGACTGGACGGGGGCCGAGGAGGGCCTGCGTCTCCGGGTATCACCCTGGCTGCGCCGCGCGCCGCTCTGGGGGCGCCAGGTCTGTGCAGGTAGTGCGGGAGGCCGGAGACGCGGCTCACGTGTGAAGTGTCTCTGAGCAGGTGTTGCTCGGCAGCTGCCCTCCGCGGCCCCATCTTTCCTTTACTTCCGCGAGAGGGATTGCAGATTGCCTTGGCAGAGGCGGTCGTGACCAGAGCTACTTTCCCGGTAGGGCTGGGAGGGGAGCTTGTGGTCTGATCCAGGGATATTAAAATTATGCGCTCGCGCGCGCACACACGCACAGGCGCGCACACACACAGGAAATGAACGGTTTTTCTACAAGTGACTCTACCATTCCTTCCTGGAGAAGTAGTATTCAGTGGGATGGGTTGAGTGAGGGTTGGCCAGTGTTAGTAGGAAACGAATATTTCATGTCCTCCTCCCTCTGAGTAAAAGGTGGGCGCTAGATGCCCTTTCCTGGCACCCCGTGCATTACAAACCCAAATGGAGAGCTCAAGAGGGCTGCAGACTTTCAAAAGACACATTAGCTTGAAAGTGCTGTCATTGGAACCACGAATACTAAATGTGCGTTTTGGGGAAGCGTGGCTAGAAATCAAAGCTGGGTGGTGGCTGCAGAGAGAGTACATGAGGGTTGAACAAGGTGACCCTTATTTAGCCCTGGTGAAGCAATCATAGCTCCACTTTCTACTTCTGACCACATTGCATTTAAAGCAATCTAAGCAAGTGGGCAACTGAATGATTCAGTGAGAGGGAATGATTATTACCTTAAGCAACTCGGGGTGTTGTGTAACAACTCATAAAGTCAGAAAATGGTTTTTTTTTTTTTCTCCTCAAAATTCACATCAGCAGTTTGCAATTACATACTGCTTCCCCCCCCTCCCCGCCCCCACGGAGTGTTTTAATAATGGTAAGTGACCTGAAATATTAACACCTGTTTTCCAATGTATGCGTTCTTGAATCCTCCTATAAGTGCTCAGTTTATTTCTGGATATGCATTTACTCTTTAAGATATCTGGCTTATATTTTTTGCCTAGAACCCTCCTGCCTAGGGCAATGTGACCTCTGGAAATTTTCCTTATCCAGAGTCATATTCCTTGGTCATGAATCTGGGATAAAAAAGAAAATCCCCTGCAATTTATTTTACTTCCTATATTCATTCACTGAACATTTTTTTTCAAGACATTCACATTGGAAAAGGTAATTAACTCAGAGTTAGACATAGACTTCAAGGTCAGTTTTGCACTTTCGTAAGGTTGAGTAATTATTTAACAACCTCCCTCAAGTTTTTCTTATTCTTCAAATGTGGTTGGTGGTGCCTACCCTGACATGCTGTTGTGACAAATAAAGTGTGTGGAAAACACCTAAAATATAGACTAGCTATTTTTGAACCCCTGAAATCATTATAGACACTGCGCTGTGATTACCAAGATGGATGAGGGCGAAATTCTCCTCTCAAAAAATTCACGTCTGGTTACCCAGGTTAATCTTCCTCCTATACTTTTAGCTTTTTTAATTTTTTTTTAATATAAGTGTTTTTAATTTTAATAAAATTTAAAGGTTTATTTATTTCTGAGAGAGAGAGAGAGAGAGACAGCATGAGCAGGGGAGGGTCAGAGAGAGAGGGAGACACAGAATCTGAAACAGGCTCCAGGCTCTGAGCTAGCTGTCAGCACAGAGCCTGAAGCAGGGCTTGAACCCACAAACCGTGAGATCATGACCTGAGCTGAAGTCTGACGCTTAACCGACTGAGCCACCCAGGCACCCCAAGTGGTTTTAATTTTTAGGTTTTTATTTAAATTCCAATTAGTTAACATACAGTATAATATTAGTTTCAGGTGTACAATATATGATTCAGTATTTCCATAATACCAGGTGCTTATCACAACATCCTCTTAGCTTTCATTCAATTTCCTTATCAGTGGAAGGGACATATATCCTAAATAACTTGAATGGGATTTAGCAGTTGTAAGAAATGTTTATAAGAACTGCTAAAAGGCAATTGGAGAAAGGCACCTCGCCTCAGAAGCTGGTGTATTACGTTCTTTTGCCTGTTGAGAGTGACCTCCTGTATAAACAGGAAATGGAGGATTTTCTTCTTGTTATGAGGGGAAGACACTCTTTTCCTGGAATTTATCTTTGCCACTGAATTGATTTCCATCTTTTGGAACAAGAGACTAAATTGCAGTTTATTACACACTTTGGATAGACTACAGTCCACCTGCTCTGAAGAACCAGAGAGCATAGTAACTAACAATACCTCTGTAGGCTTATGATGTCCTAGCCACTGTGCCAGAACACTGTTTTCTGTAGGTCTGTCAATATCCATGTTTGCAGAAGAGGAGTTTAGGTGCAAAGAGTTAACTTGCTTAATTTACACAACCAGAAGCCCAGGTCTCTGGGGCAAAAGAGAGATGAGGGTAAGAGCGGGGCCTTTGTAGTCTGGTCTGTCTGGGTTTTGATCTTGGCTCTGCCATTTATTAGCTAGGGCAAGTTGCTAAACTTCTCTAAATCTCTGTTTCTTCATGTGTGAAAATTTCTCAAACTCTGTTTCTTCATATATATAAAAAAGGATAATATTCAATTTCATACATTGGTTGTAAAAATTAGATGAGATAATACCTGTGAAATACTTAGCACTGTGCTGAATACATGCTAGTCGTAGCTAGTGTTAAGATTTAAATATGTGGCATTAGGGCTGTTATGTTGTTAGAAGGATCACTGGCTCATTCTTCTTAACAGTTAATTTGGGAATGCTTGGAAATGCCTGGTTTCCCATTAGATGGCCTAACAGTGTTGGATTGCTTCATAAACCGTTACATGGGCTCTCATTGTCTTGAGAGGTTATCCTTGTTTGTCACAGGCTTTCTCAAAACTGGATCAAAGTGATTAGGAAATGTGTTGGGAAACAACTGTACACCAAGTCTTGGTGAGAAACAGAACTTAAAAAAAAAAAAGTTAAAGAGACAGCTTCATTTTCTCAGTTGGTCCCTGAAATGGTGAAGCCAGGTGCCTAGTCTGCCTGCTTGGGAGATTCAAGAGTTTATATCATAATATGAGAGAATAGCCTAAGGTGGACGAGTGTCCAGAGAAAAAAAAATAACAGTTACTCCACAGACATGGCGGTTAGTAAACAGGATGGAGGTATGTGCATTTATGTATAAATTGGTATCATCAAGAATCTTGGGAAAAAATTAACCAGTTAAACAAACTGAACTTGACCATAATAAAACTAGTTCAGCTAGCACTGGACTAATTGGTGCTTGGGTGCACCAGAGACGTGTTCAACATATTCATACATATCAGTGTTAACAAGTGATGCCAATATTTTTGAAAACATTTTTCCATCCTAATATCAAAACCTCTTGCAGATGTTCTTATTAATATTCATTGAAATCCCAAATGAGTTCATGAAAATCTTATAGGGCATTTGAGTGACAGCTATGAGATGCTGGTGTAAAGATACTTTTGTTAAAAGTTTTGTGCGATTAGGATAGCCTTACAAAAATAGACATATTTAATTGTTCAATGATCTAAACAAGTAATTATTTTTTGGTATTGTTTGGCATTAAAAGAGCAATTTTTCAGTTAAAAATATTTAGTATGAATGGTGAATACAAGGAAATATTTGTTTAGAAAACAAAGATCTTCATAAAAAGTTAGTATTTTTAGGAAGTGTTTTATGTCAAACATCAGCTGTTTCCTCACCTAATAATACAATAAAATATATTCTTGGTAATCATCTACAGCCTTAAACAGACTCTGATTAGAGCTAATATGTAGATGAATTATAATTTATAAGAAGAAACTGCCCTGCTAAGTAATTTCCTTGAAGACCACTTCTTTTGGAACTAGATTAGATATGAATAAACAGCAAAACTAAAAGGCATGAATTTATTTGAGCAGTTTCTAAGGAAGGAACTATATTAATGATTTTCCCTTATTTTAAATCTGTCTCCAAAATTTCATAATCCAAAATTCTGTCAGTTCTTTTCAACTGTGCAAAAGGTGTATTCAGTGATAAACAGCATCATGTGATAGTGTTTCTCAACAGGTGATACTGTTGGCATTTTGGCAGGACACCTCTTCTTTGTGTGGGGACGCCTCTTTCATTGCAGGGCATCTAGCATCTAGTGTTTATGGCCCCTATACTCCACATGCTGATAGCTTCCCCCACAGTCATGGTAATCACCAAGAATTCTGACATTTAAATGTACCTCTTAGAAGAGTGGTTCTAGATGTGGTTGAAAACTGTTGGCCAATAT